CTCAACAAGTTAAATAATTAACTAAGATGACTCAATTTTCAACCTGATGTGAACACTCTCCTATAAAAAACGTTACAAAAGGTAAGTTTTGCACTGTATGTTATGTTTTTTTTTTTTTTGCTATATCATATGATGTTTGTCACATCTTTCAGAGGTGATGTTTTTCAACATAAATTTAACCTTGAAATTGAAAACGTTTTTATTTTTTTACTTATTGTAAAAAAAACTTAACATTCATAATATTTCATGAGTCCACCCATCTTATTTCCATTGCTGCTTTTCACGTCTTGCCTATAAGTTAAACTTATCTAATCTCCCATATCTTCCTGAGGAAACCCAGAAATGGACTTTAAATAGAATCGCATCTTAAAAACAAAAATATTCAAACTATTCTCTCGCATTGTATGAAAATCTGCAGCAGACATAAAAGTCAGGCTGACAAAAATGAACTTTTGTGTCGGTGGAAACAATCATTATGCAATCCAGGCTCTGAGCAAACAGTTTGACTTTGCTTGTCCATTTTGTTAATAATGACTTCGGTTTGTTTACTATGARCTTAGTTGTAACTTTATCAGGTTAGTTGTGCTTGAAAGTTTATTAAAGTTTGAGTTYCAGTCAGAGCTGATGGTTTCCTGACTAATCCAAGTCAGACACGACTCCCGTTCAACTGTTTCTGACAGTTTATCCTCATGCAGACTGYCTTCATGAACGTGTGCGTTTGAGGCTGATTTCTCCTTCATGTTAGGAAGTTGAACTAGCAGAGGGAAGCAGACTGAGGGAAGATGTGTCAACAGTTCCTGCACTTCACTTCCTCTCCCCTCAGTGTCACAGAAAGTGTGYTCATTTCAAAACTTTTGCCTTTTTTTTTTAATTCTTGGACGTGTCTGTTTGCGCAATATCTCACGAACCGGTGGATGGATTTCAGTGAAATTTGCAATAAAGCTAAAATTTATCTTAGTCATCCCCAACACATAAGCACTAATAGATCGTGCAGTTTTTGAGGTTTGACAAAAGCAGCTATAACTCCATTATTTGTCAACACGAAACAATCGTAGCTGAAACCTCTGGCATGAAAAGAGGCAGGTGATATGCATTCCTTTAAAGCACATGTGTCAAACTTAAGGCCTGTGGGCCAAATGTGGCCTGCCACTGCATTTTATGTGGCCTGCGAGAGCTTCAAAGATGTATTAATGTTTTAAAATAAGCGTACRCTGCTTTAAGGACAGCATTGACCATAAACTACATCTCCCATRAYGCATGTTAATTATTTTAYCCRYAAACTGACAGCAGYCCAMCACTTRTTGGAGGTTCACAGGGTTCAAAAGTAGCCAGCAGCCATGAAATTCACCCTGTAAAATCTCMRTTTAGCTGGATTTTCACCTCCTACACTTGCTGTGTCCCTGTTGTACTGGGAAGTGGGAATTTTCCACTTACAAGTCAGGAACGCCTCTCCGGAAGGAATTCCTTGTCAGAGCAACACCCGACTTCCCAAGTTCAGAATTCAAGATGGCGGCTACTACTCGCCACAACTCAAGAATAATTAAAACTATCTTACTTTTACTTTTAATAGTATTTCTGAATATTTATTTCACATTTAGTCAGTCGTACATATAGTACCTTTCAGTGTTTATGAGAGAATGTGTTAAAATGCTGTTTCTATGCAAGAAATACCGTGTAGAGCTCAGGTATTGTTTGTTAGCGGTGCTCAGTTGTGCAAATGAGACGAGGAACGTGGCGTTTCGTGTTCAGTCAAAATCAAAACACAAGATGTCAAAGTTAATTACAAGTGGCATTTTCAGGGCCACCATAATGCTCATGTGGACCTTGGTGAAAAAAGAGTTTGACAGCCCCGCTTTAAAAAAAGGCTAGGCCTTTAATTTYACAATGCAAATTACAGCCTGTGACTTTGATCCTTTAAGGAAAAAGCATGAAAATGAAGTGTTTGAGTGAGTCAGATCTCACAGGGTTCTAACAGAAATRGAAAACTGCATGCAGATAAGACGGTGTCACGTTGCAAATAAAATTCAGGATTTTCACGACCCCTCTGTAGGCTTCATGTAACCGAAGAGCATCTGAGGAGGCATCAGAAGCAGATGATTCAATCTGTTTTCCTCCCACGTGTCCTTCACTCTCACAGGCTTTTATGGGTGTGAGAATCCAGCTAAAATAGATAAAATGTCAGCAAGAAGAACACAAACTCTGATCCAGGCCGAGCTGAAACTAACGCTCTGTTTAGTCACGGCACAGTTGGTTTGTTCGTTTCAATTTCAGTCTTTCTCAGAACGTTCTGCCGGACRCGGCCGTCCTCTGAAACGTTACGTTACACTTTGTTTTGTGTCAGATCTGAGCGGTGTGGCTTGTGTGCATTCAGCAGATTCCAAGATTACAGATGCAAACTCTCCCAGTYCTTATGCCTCGATTCTGAAGTAATCTTTGAAATAATACTTTATTTCTGCTAAATGCTGGGATTTGCTGCAGTCTTTGACTGATTGATTGAAAGATAAGTTATCTGTTTGGAGTCTGACCTGCCAGCTTGTTGAGGCCAAAGTGAAAAGGCTCATGGGAAAAACAACATCTGTATTCATTATTTGTCCAACTCTCTTGGCAGTAAAGACAAAATGCAGCGTSAAAGGTAGTTTGACTGAAATAACAGTTTGTTGGACTGTCCAACATTAGAGCTGTTATTTATTTGGATATTTTCTTATTTCATCCTCATATTTTTTTAATTAAAGGTGTTAATTATGATATTTATTAGTTTGGTTTTTCAGATTAGGAAATCCAGTCTTGCTTTGTAACCATTAGTTTTTTTCTTTTAATAAATCAAAACATAATAAACTAACTATTAGCCTAAACCCAGAAAGTTTGGAGTTAATTGACATGATTAGGTGGTTCAGATCATTTGAAGTGCATTTCTCAAAATGGTTTTAAACAGTTAATATCTTACCTGTTCTAGATAGCTTCCTAAACAACCTCAGTTTGGTTTATTTTATACTGGACTCACAAGCTAATGGCTAATCTGTGCAAGGCCAAGTCTAAAGTGGATTACTGCCATCTTTAAAYGATTCCAGTCTCAAAACTTTCATAGCAGTTTGTGTGAATATTGTTATATACGCCTTCATTTCTGCATTATGCTTTAAATCTGGGAAGTTATTCACCCATCTCGTTGACGATAAACCTGCACCGAATTTTTTTTTTTCTGTGAAACATGTAGGTTTTTTTTAAGAGTTATTCTTGTTATCTTTTATTGTGCTGGGACCTGAGTACATTTCATTCTGTCATATGCAAATGTAAATTGTGTTTTATCACTAACGTGTTGCCTCTGTGTCTATCCTTAGTTTCTGTTTCYGTCATGCTTTCACCAAATGTTACATATTTTTCACAAGGTCTCTGCGAATTTGCTTATCTTCTTCATTTTTGCAAAGATCCTCATTGTTTTCCTCTCTGGAAAAAAAAACATTGCCGTTATTGTTTCAGAAGTTTCACAACAAAATGAAAGTCTTAGCTTTTTTTGACACAAAGCCGCCCGCTTACGGGAAGCAACCTGTCAAAATAAAAGCCGTAACACACGACCATCTAGTGCAATGACTAGTCCTTACATACGTACCACGTTGATTTAATTTGCCTCCTGCATTGCAGGCCTTGCCATGTGGCCCATGTTTATTGTGATGACGATTTTCAAACAATATATTGAGCAGTTTTAACTGAAACTGTTGAAACTGGTGTTGCAGCTGGAAATCGTTCATCTTAGCCATTAGCTCATCAATATGATCAAAAATACACTCTGTTTCTTCAAACAGATTTTGATCAAAAATGTATCTACAGCAGGTAAGAAATTAATTGTTAATTAACCTTTCAAAAGACAGGATTTGTAAGTTGGCAACTTTCTGTGGTGAGCCTGGGGACGGTGGGGGATGCCACAGACGTTTGTGTTGATTAGACACAACTTTGGTCGTCTCTCTTAATATTTCTGGGAAGTGAAGTTTCCAGTTTAGAAAAATTTCCCTGCTGTAGCAATTCCTCTTTATTTATTCTGTTTCTCTTTCATTCAGCTCATTTAAAGCAGATCTTAACATTTCATTTTCTGTCAAACCTGAAAATGAAAAAAAAAATCCCTCTATTTCTTTGGTAAAAAGATAGTTTGGTGGATGTGGTGTAGATTGTCACTCATTTCTACACTGGAGCTGAGTTGTGAAAGAAAATGTTGCCTCAGGTATTAAAAGGTAAACACTTAATCCTTTTAGGCTCTTGTAATCAACCCATATTTTCTAGAGAAAAGCGAGCCATTCTCTCTGACTAACAATATTAATCCAGGTGCGTCATTGTGCGTTTAGTTGACTGAGGGCGGGAACACTCAGTGGCTCCAATGTGAAAAAAAGCAGCTTTAGTTGTGGAAAATAGCTCATCCTGACGCCAAACTTTGTTTTCACCTCTTTGATGACAAAACCATTCCAACCCTCTTTTTGCTAAATAAAGAAATTGCTTCATTTTGTACAGCGGAAAGGAGGTTTCTGCATTTTTTTCCTGGATTACAATATAGCTTGAAGTCTTCCTGCCATCCCCCGGAGCAGAAAGGGGACAGGGTGGGGGGGGGGCGGTCAGAGGTCAACACCCAGCTTCTATTGTCCTGAGAGCCACACCGGAACTGGTCCACAAAATCCTCCCTCAAACCTTCCCAACAGACTTACAGTCACCTCCAATCACAGAGACCCCACTTCCTTCCTGGCCTGGGATCACATAGGCTCCTCGCAGCAGCAGCTTACAGTTTTACAGTTAAAAACGCAGCGAGCTCAACACACCAGCATGCAGCGACCACCTGCATGTTCGCCCTCGGCTTCATATTTATGGTAAACGACTCTCAGGAGCTCTCGGTTATCTTTGTGCCTCTYGTTCTGCCCGAGCAGACGCCCATGGTGGAGGTAGCTCTGTTTGGATTTCTGTTTGTTTGTATGTTTGGAACCAGCTGTTCTAACTCAGGCCGCTAACGTTTTGTCTTCTTCCAGGAGGTGCGTGCCGAGCTGCGGCCGCGTCTCTGCGTGATCCAGCGTGGCCCCAACGGATATGGCTTCAACCTGCACAGCGAGCGGGCGCGGCCGGGCCAGTACATCCGTGCCGTGGATGAGGACTCTCCGGCAGAGGGGGCCGGCCTGCAGCCCAAGGACCGGATAGTACAGGTACTCCTAAGACCACGTGGGGCTGCGAGCCACTGATGGGTCAGTTATCAGATGGGATTAAAGGGCGAAGAGATACAAAGTGCTGAAATGAGAGAAACTGTGCAGAAGTCCACCTCTGGGCGTTTCCTGATCGGTCACTTCCGSTCCAGTCGGCCTCCGAGTCATTTTTCTTTTCTTCGACTAAAATAGAGGAGAATGGGGCGGTGTGGTGTGATCAGGCCTCGTGGAGATTTTTATTCATTCTCCTCGTTCATGTCTTCTTTTTTTAATAAATAATGAATCATGTTATATATAATCACACAGGACTTTATTTACCTTTTTTATTTAAATCTGTTTTTTTATTATTATTTTTGCTTTAAATTAAAAATCATGTCATGAAAAATATATTTTTATAAATATTTTTGTCTCTTATAGCACCGGGATCAGGTTTGAGAAATGTTAGGAAGAATATATCCTAAATTAACAGGGAATAAAGGGATAGTTCAAATCTTATCTGCTCATTGAGTAACCTCCATCTGAAGAAATAGTTTAATCATCGCCTCCCTGGCAAAAGGCAATAACGGCGATCATGCTTTTGCGTGTTTGTCTGTTAGCAAAATATCTCTTGAACCATTGATAGGTTTAAAGTAATTCTTGGATTTATGTTTACAAGTGATTAACTTTTGAAGTCAGTCTGATTCAAGATGGCTGCCACAGTCAGCTGACTTTAAAAAACACAAAACTGGATTTAAGTTTGTCATTTTTTACAGATTTGAAGCTAAAATTTGCTGTGTAGCTGTGAGTCATTCACAACACATACTCCAAGCACTACACAATGTGCAAGATAGTCGCCTATAACTGTTGGTGTCTGTTAGCAAAATATCACATGAACCACTGGATGCATTCGAATGATACTCCCAGAATATAAGGACTGTGTGTACGTTTTAGAGACAAACTGATTTAATGTGGCCGTGACAGATAATTAGAATAGACAAAAATTGCTGTTGTTCAGTCAGTTTATATGAAACTGGGCTCAAATTGTATGTGGTAGTAGCTGAGAGTCATCCCTAACATACACAGAGAAATAAGACCTGATATTATGTGAAGTCACGTGTAACGTTATCTTTAAATCATAACTTTGTCATTTCTCACATTGAAGGATTTTACTCTAAGACTGAAGAAACATTTGCCAAAAAGTTCCTTAAAGCTCTAAAGAAATCTGTATTTAGGAAGTTTCTGTGCAAAACGTGTGTAGAAATGTCAACGTGGAGCATGAACCGTGAAGAAACACATTCAAATCAACATTGATGGCTGACTTTGATAGTAAAAAAGAAAGAAAAAAAAAGAAAAGTGACCACCAGCTCTCACAAATCAAATAAAACAAAAACAAATTGAATCAGTGAAATGATTAGAAGCACGTTTTAAAGCCTCAAGTTGGCGTTTTCGGTCCCTGAGGAGGCCCCAGAGAGCCACACCGCCCCCTGAGGAGCAGAGGGGGGCTTTGTGAGGAGCAGACAGCCATTGTTGCTGCTGTTAACTGGCCAAGCAGCTTTTGTCTAGCTTCCTCTGCAGCTTAGACGTGCACATCCACCCTACGACCTAAACACACCCACACACACACACACGCACACACCCTTCAAGACATTTCTCACATGCTTTCCCATGGAGATTTTACACCAGGACAGTCAGCTGGTGCATGGCAGAGAGTTAAATGCAGCTGTCACAGCTTTGCTCCACTAATAAACTCAAGAAAATTAAAAAAAATAAACGTGACAAGGACAGGGGGAAAAAAACTTTGGAGAATGTTCAGGAATTTCTGCCTTTAGTTTTTTTTTTTTCAGGAGAAATCGGTCCCCTCATTTCTTCATAGGAAAAATTTGGTTTCATTTAGAAGAAATTCCAATTTTTCTACATTTTAAAAATATTATTCTAATTTTTTTTTCCTGTCAGGTGAACAGCCTTCCAGTGGAAGGGAAGACACATTCGCAGGTGGTCGCTGCCATTAAAGCTGGCGGGTCGGAGGTCCGGCTGCTGGTGGTGGACCCCGACACGGACGCCTTTTTCAAGAGGTGCAGGGTGTCCCCCACCCTCGAGCACCTCACCGGTGAGATTTCCCTCTCTTCTCGTCGACTGGCCAGGCGATCGACTGAAACGTCGGGTTCATGTTTATTCAGGAGCTGCAATGCTAATATTAAACACCGCGGGCCTCTTTTTGCTCTCTTGTTTCTAGGAAACAGTTGCAGAATTTAAACGTTTGTCAGTTTCTTGGCTCTGCCTCATTTTTTTTCTCGTCTGTCTCTTTTTTCCCCTGCTCTCTCTCCTTCGTTTATTTTTTCTGCTGAGGATCACAGACACTAAGCCACTTCCTGCTCCCCCATGATGTTGATGCCCTGCAGGGAAAGTTAATCTTTTAGACATAAATACAACAGATCAGACAGATCAGAGTCAGACTGCACTCTCTAACCAGGTTGTTTGTAAAGTTTAAAGGCTTAAGCCTGGAGCTGCTTTTGACCTGATACCGGAAATTAGCTTAAAAATAAAGTGAATTGAGTGAATTCTTTAAAACAGAATCATCTGATTATTTTAGCACAGCTATTACTTATCTGTCAGAGTCTTCGTTTTATTGTTTTTGTGACAAGCTGTTTTTTTCAAAGCCAGTAATTTACCCTGAACTGATACAGGAGAGATAACTTTGTTTTGCTGTCTTATCAGAAAAGAAAGGTTAGAAGTTCTGGGTGTTTTTGCATTTTCTTGTCCTGATAAACCTGACATTACCTTTRGGGGGAGCTGTAGTGAAGTTCTTAATGTAGTTTCGAAGCTGTTTTTTTTTTTTTTTATTCAGCCTGAGTTCAGTACCACCACTTTACCTGGAGAGACCACTAACAAAATCAAGTCAAGCGTTAAGCTAGAAAAGGTATGAAGGTGGATGTTTTTCCCACTGTACTTGTTCATTAATGGACACGAGTAGTTAAACACGCCCCAGAAATCATATGTGCTCAGGCTGCTACTACGAGTCTCAAAAAGGATAACATCTACAAAATACTTGTTTTAAGAAAAGATGGTTTAATTTTTTTAACTGTTTTGTATGGTTGAGTGGTTCCTGGAGGGTGGATCCTTCAAACCAAATGTGCAATAATCAGTGGGCTAAAGTAAAACAAGAAGCTAGTCTATGTCTTTTTTTACTGCAGTAAGTACAAATAGACTTGCTCTGAAATCTAAAAGACTCCATTTGATTTGTTCACTGTTCATGACCAACCTTAAAGCAATAGTTCAGATCTTTTGAAGTTCTGTGGAAAGCTTCTGAACAATGAATGTCTTACCTGCTGTAAGGTTAGCTCTTTGAATGTTCCCAGTTTGAAGAAATACAAATTTGACAAGCTAAGGGCTACTTTAAGCACAGTCTAAGCACTGTATTTATTGTCCAGCTCAGTTTAATCGGGTCAAAAGTGAACTCTATTTCTCCAAACTGAAGTTATCTACTACAGGTAAGATATTCATTATTCACAATCTTTTTGCTTGAACCTCGTGTAAAACTATGTTTTTTTATTGCTTTATGTGTGTTTGATCTTTATATTGATCAGAACATTTTGGCGCTAATAAAAGCAAAACATAAAGATATTAGTGTTGGTTTAGTATTTTCACCTTCTGGTTCAGGATTAGAAATAATAAAACAGACTTTCAGCCAGGTGTTTCCCAGGTAACTGCCCACTCAGAGGCCACCGGCCTCCGCTCGCTCCTCACGCACCGACACACACCACTGCAGCCCGACAGGCCCACACTTTGTTTGCTTTCCACGGCGCCCACTCAGACGTGGCCCCTCGGCTCCGAGCTGGAGCTGTTAGGACTCGGAGAGGCTCCTCTCAGAGTCAGAGACATAAAAACAACGAGGAGGAGAGGACTTAAATCCCCTCAGAACGACCAGCTTCTGTCTTCACTAGGGCTGTGAGAAAGATCAGGGGGACATGGAAGGTGAGGTTAAAGAGTTGAAGGAGCAGTAGACCCCATCTCGTGAAGGATAAAGGATAAATTTATTCATCAAGTCGACTCGTCGGTGAAGGGAAAGATGAGCTGCTAAGAGACGATGCTTTGGAGCCCATAAGTGACCGTGGTGTAACTTTGTCCTCCACAGGTCCACTGCCGGAGCCCATCGCTAACGGAGAGGTGGAAGAGAAGGTAAGCATCACCAGAAACAACATCTCAGAGCACACAGAGGTAGTGTTCGGGTTGAAAATCTGCTCTGGAACCGAGGCCAAGGTTTGAGCTTTGAAGATGATGAATCTCCCACAGAGGCCACTTCCCTCCTCACAGATCCAGCCTCTCCTTCCTGCCAGCAGCCAGGAGGACAATAATAGTTTGAGTACACCTACAACCTAAAAGGCACACAGCCTCTTTTTTTATGTTGTGTGGCACATCAGAGAAGTGAGTTATTAATCACAGACGTGTATTTCCTGCTATTGTTGATCCTTTAGAGGCTCATTGTGTTTGGAAGCTCCACCCAATGAGTTTTCCATTAATCTCTGAACAACTTCAAATATACTAAACCTAAAAACACTCACAATTAATAAAGTTACATAATACGACATTAATGGTGTCTCGTGTATTTAAAGTGAAAGTTACTTTTTGTGCGACTTTGATCCAAATGATAAAATGAGGCACTTTTAGGTTTAAACGATGAGTCTGTTTTATTAGAAGGAATAAACATTCATGATGTTGTAAAAGTTTTAGGGGAGAAGACAGTTTTGTTCAGTGTTATCACACAACTGGGTTAATTCTTCCACTAAACAGGCATAAAACTCAAGATAATATGCAGCTAGGTGCTTGTTTTGGTCACAGTGTGCGATGATTCTCATGTAATTTATAATAGAGACTTTGCTATTGATGGTAAATGATTAATTATTAGGATATTTTAACGATATTAGCCTCAGTATCGTAAATCTCCAAACTACCGTTTTTAAGGTTGTAGCAGAACAACTGAAATGCTTTTTAAAGGGAAATGATGTTATGGATAGTTTTCAGTCTGTTTTTTTTTTAGCAAATTGCACTCTGCAGAAACAGCGTTTAGTGGCTTGTTGATGGGAGCAGACTCTGGAAACTACACTGTGCTAGTTTTATTAAACTTAACATCAGCCTTACTGTGGATCACTCTGACTGAGAGATTTGTTTGTGTTTGTGTCAAACTGGTTTACTTTCTATTTATCTAGAAGATCTTTTACTGTTTTTTCTGAATCAGGTTTCCTCTGATCTAACTCCGCTGTCTTGTGGTGTACCCCAAGGTCCAGTTTTGGGCCCGATGCTCTTTTAACTGTTTTTATACCCTAAAACATTGCAGTAATGTTTGACATCATCTTTATGAAACAATACTGAGACTCTTATTGCCCCTGATGATAAAACTTCTGTAATCAGCTTTTAAAACTCAAAAAATCTGAATGTCTTTGGCAGTTTATCGTCTTTCGACAGTTGTTGTAAAACGTTAATACGTAACTGCTTTTATAATATAAAAAATATTTTGAAGCTGAGATCTTTTGTGTCACAAAAGGAATGAGAGATGATTGTCCACGCGTTTATTTCTTGTTGAGATTATTGTAACAGCCTTTTCACTTGGCACGCCTTCAGCCTATAGAACACTGCAGTGGGGTTATTAACTAAGACCAACAGAAGCGCCCACATGACTCCTGCACATGCTCCCTGTGCATTTGAGGAATCATTTTAAAATTTTGGTTTTAACTTTTAGGGAACTTCACGGTCAGGCTCTCAAATACATGTTGGACCTTCTGAAGCCTTTCTGTCCATCCAGGACTTTGAGATCTTCAAATCAAATGATGGTGGTGGCACCTCAAACCCATTATAAACCCCATGAAGAACAAATCCGTTCTTCAAAAAATTTACATTGTTCAAAAAATACTTTTATTAAGTTTCATTTTCTGTTTTTTAAAATGTTCTTGTTTTTATTAATTTTTTGTCATTTTTAGTCAAATAAATYTTCTTTACTTACGTAAAATATATTAGAAAGTACTGCATTTGTAAAGGCTTGATTATTTTTACTAGTTAGTTAAAATGACATAAAATAATACATTTAGTGACCTTTAAGTCATTAAATGTGACTTTTGTAGTGTTTTTTTCCACCTGATTCTCACTATCTTCCATTGACTAAAATCTGCATTTGTTTGTTGCTACTGAGTCATCATTCTAAGAAAAGGTTTTTAGGACTATAGGGCGACTATTTTCATGTAAATACACCAGTCTTTGATCATATTTGGTGATTTTGATTCACATAAATTTAAAAGGAACTATTGTATTTATGCTCGCTGCTGAGCTTTTGTCCAGAGAACAAGGCCGACAGGCTCGACTGTGTGTTTATCAGTTCCACGCATTGTTGTGTAACCGTTATTAAAGAGCGCAGAGGGGCGGAGGTGGAGAGGGAGGTCAAGGAAAAGTTGCTTGTCAGGTTAAAAAAAAGAAAAGAAAAAAATCTGACCCGCTGACAGGTTTTACAAGTTTTATGTTCAATGAAGCAGAAAGGCAAAGGCTGATCGTCACGCTCCAGGAGGCTTTTGTTGCCAATTGTGTCCAAATACTCAAGTTTCTTTCTTTTCTTTTTCAATTAAATTCTCTATTTTTCGTGGCAGTTTTGGAAAAAATTAAAATAGTAAAAGTTTATAATTGTTTTCCCCATTTTTGAGTGAAAAAAATGGAATTTTTAAGCAAATGGTGGAAACATGACTTGGCACATTAGGTGGCGAGCACCGAGGTTTCTTGTAGTTGGTCAGAAGCACCACTCAGAAGGGACTTTGGGCCACTCCTCTTTATAAAAACTTTCAAAGTCCTTCAGGTTTCTATGCCGCTGCCCCTCCACAGAGTTTCTTTAGCAGCACTTCTTAAATCTGGGGTCAGGACCTCACTCTGGGTCTTGAATAACCGAATGTTGGGTCGTAAAATGATCTCCAGAAATCAAACCCAATGAAAACAACTGATGAGAGCTTGTGAAGGGAGAGGGTTAGAGAAGGTAAATCTGTGGTTGGAAGGTCACTGGTTGGTTGAACTCTTTGGACTGACAACAACAGTGTCATTGGAAACCCACTCCGGGCCCTTGAGCAAGGACCTTAACCTCTAAGTGCCTGAAATGGCCCTCTACTCCACATGAGATCATGTGCAATGGGAAAAAGGCAGATATCCTCGCTAAGGCACAATAAGCTTTTTTTTTCTTATAGCTGATACAAAATGAGAACAGAAGTCATGAATGAGCATAATTAGTGAATTATGTGAGGTTGTTTGTTTTATCTTTTATTTGAGCAGTTTGTTAGAAATAAAGACACTGTTTGGATTTGTTTTTACCCGAAGATAAAAAAAAAACAGTTTAGGAACCACTAATTAATAGAACTGAGGTCTGTATTTAACGTATTGTTTTCTTTAGACACTCATTTATAGCCTTGATAAGTTTGAGGTCATTATTCGGCTGAAGGACTCATCCATGTCCAAGATTTTACAGTACAGGGTCCCAACCTAATTTAACTATAAAGCTCCCATGTCTGTGCTTTACTGTCAGAATCTATGATGCCAAAGATTTCCATGCTGGTATGAAGTTTAGACATTCTCATCAACTCTAGTTATTTTAAATAAAAATGTACTGGTTTTTATACCACACTCCTGTTCTTTTATGAAATAATTAGTTCAGTGGACAAGTCTGAGTGACGTTTATTGTCCTCTAAATGAAGCGTATTCAATCCTGGTCCTCTAGGGCTGCTGTGTTTTAAATGATTTCCTTGCTCCTGCCTGGGTCAGTGATTAAATAGCCTCTACAAGTTCTGCAGAAGCTTGTTAATCACCCATTGATTCAAATCAGGTGTGCTGGAGCAGGGAAACCGCTAAACCCCTCCCAGTCCTCAAGTACCCCTATCCAGCATGTTTTACTTGTTTCCCTGCTCTTCAGCAGGTCTTCAGAAGATTGTTAATCACTCATTCATTCAAACAAGGCGTGTCAAATCAGGAAATCACTGCTTTAAATGTTGACCAACACCTCAAGAGCTTTTCTGAACCTGATGAGACATTTTCAAAATATAGTATTCACTCAGTTTTATATTTATTTAGTATTGCCTCTGGAAGCCATTGATTCTTTGCCATTTTTTTGTAAATAATAATTCAGATAACATGTATTAAAGCAATGATTCTCAACCCTAGTCCTCAAGGACCCCTATCCTGCATGTTTAGATGTTTCCCTGATTTGACACACCTGGTTTGAATGACTGAGTGATTAACAATCTTCTGAAGACCTGCTGAATAGCAGGGAAACAAGTAAAACATGCTGGATGGGGGTACTTGAGGACCAGGATTGAGAACCACTGTTTTAGAACATCAGAAATCCCAAACTGCCCCCATGTGGTGAAGTCAGACACTGCCTGAGAAATGTCTCTGCTTCTTAACGTGTGTGATCATATAATCTCGTAATTTGACCGGATGTTGATGTTTGTGTTTTCAGGTGAACGGCAGCAGGGATCTGAAGGGGAGACAGAGGAACTCCAAGGTGTCGGTCAGTCCTTCGCCCTCCAACGCCTCCTCCAACGCCTCATTCACGACCCCGACCACCAGCACCCCGCCGGAGGTGCGCCATTTTAATTTTAATTTTTTTGTGTGCTCTTGTAGAAACAGGCTGATTTTCTCACTATTTTATTTTAATTAATTTTTTCAGGGTCTGCTCACAGACACCATCCCAGCTCTGAACCTCACCCTGCAGCAGGTCAAAGAGCTCACCCACCAGAAGCGCACCAACAAGAGGGCCCCTCCCATGGACTGGACCAAGAAGAACGAGCTCTTCAGCAACCTATAGAGCCCTTCACTCCGCCCGACACACACACACACAGAGACAGTCACACACATCTTTATTTCCTTCCAAAAGACATCAGAGAGTCCTATTTTATTATGAGGATTTACAAAAGAGGAAGTTATTGCTGTAAAATATAGTATTCTACTTATTGTTAGAACTCACATTTTATATTGTTTATTGGGCTACTAACCAGATAGATGCCAATGAAATAGTTACCTATATCCTACGTTAAAGTGTTTAATTTTTGGAGTGTTTGTTTTTGTGTGTGTGTAGATTTGTCAGGAGACCCGGCTCAGTCAAAACAGAAGTAGTTAAAAAAAAAATTCAGAAACCAAAGTGTAAAAAAAAAAATACAAAAAGATCAGTCAGACAATCAATTTGTTTCTTGTTTATCCATTTTAGGTTTTTAGATATAATGTTGAATAAAGGCATAAATCCACTGTCATTTTTCACCATTAATTTTTTTTTCTTTTTCATTTTCCTTTTTTTTAAATGAAACTCTAAATTTCTATATGTCATGTTTGAATAATTTCACCAATTTGCTGTCTTAATGTCATTTAATGTGATTGTCCTGTTTTGGGAAGTATGGTGTAAAACTAGAAATGCCCATGTTTTAAAATGCATTCTTGTTCAATATACTGTATGTAAATATATATCATGTACTGTGTATACTTTATGATATAGCGCCATTCATCCAGATTTTATCCATTCTTTATTAAATGTGAACCACATTGTGTAATGTGTAAACTACATGTATTTCCCCGTCTTTATTCAGTACTGGAACCATTTTTGGCTGCTTGGATGGCAGGTTTTGACATCCTGAGGTTTTTATAGCTCTGACAGAAACAAATATGTGAGTTTTTTTGTATTTCTGTCAATGTTTGAAGGAGCAGATCACCACAGGGATTGATGTTTTGGGAGATTTTTGTGAAAAATGTGGAGAATTGATCAAACTGAATGATTGAGGAAAGAAGAAGAAAGGGTTTCTGTAGTTACTGGGAGCAATAAGCGTTTTTTGTTCTGTAATGCACCAGCGTGGCAATATTATTATGTTATCTGAGAATAAATAAAATGAATCTCAAACGCAGCTGTAGTGTTTACTTTTTAAATTGGAGGTGTGGCATATAAAAATCTATCTCTGTAAAAGTCATTTTACCTTATCATAAATTAAACTGAATTATAATTTATTGTTTGCCTTTTTTAGGTTGTTTCTGTTTGTAGGTTTGTATGAAAATTTGATTATGTTTTCAGGTCACATCCACTCAAACAGAGGATGTAAGGGAAGACCACATGAGCATTATGGTGGCCCTAAAGGGCCAGTTGTAATTCACTTCAACTTTTTGTGTTTAACTTCAGCTAAACATGAAACATCACTACAGCATTCACAAATCATTACTACAGCTGAGCACCGATTACAGACAACTGAGCTCTACTTGGTATTTCCTGTATAGAAACAGCGATTTAATAGGTCCTCTTATAAACACTAAAAAATACTACGTGTACAACAGGCTAAATGTGAAATCAATTATACCAAAATACTATTAAAATATTTTTAAACTAGAAGCACTTGGAGAGTGCAAACCTCCACCAAGACCAATTTCCCCCATCCTGTAATAGAGTTAATGCACAAAAGCAGAGATGAAATCACATTTGCCGAATAAGTTCTGAGTTGACGTAGTGAACATTTAAGCAGGCAGTATGCACGGGATTTATTCTCGGTGGAGTCCAATGTGAAAAAAAAAAGTCAGACTCGTCACCCGACGTTATTCATCGTCAAACTGGTGTCGGATTAAGCTCCTAAGTTTTCATCAGTCACATTTCACCATGTAAAACGTCTGTTTTATCCCCTTGTATGAGTTTGTAATGGTTTGACTCTTTTTATAAAGTGCTTCCTGGCTCCCCCCCGTCTCCAAACTTTGAGGCCCAGCAGCTCTCTGTTTACAAGCCTAGTAGCGAGAAACTGTTTTGATTGGTTGTTTCGGAAAGGTGTGTTTGAGGAAATGGGAAAAATAGTTTTCATGGTGCAGTCATGCACTTCCTGGTCACAAAACGTTCTCTAAATGCGCACCAAATGTGTAAAAATGTGCACATTATGGCAAAAATTATTCATCATTAAATGTGGTTTAACATTACTTTTATAAATTTTGAAGTCCGTGCTGTCCAATCAGCTCCCTGTTTTTTACAGAAGCCCTGTGAAAGCATCACAGCTTTGCCTATAAAGAAAAAAATTCCTGTATCTGCATCATGATCCGGAACATCACCAAAATGTAATGGTGTGTTCCTTGGCCCAGTATCCACATGTGTTAAAAATGTCATGTCAATTCGTCCACAAGTTTTTGAGTAATGTTGTCCACAGACAGAACGACAGACAGACAGACATACGCGGCCGAAAACATTACCTCCTTGACGTGTAAATACAATTCCTAGCATGGTGATTTCACATAGCAAAGTTTGCCAGCTGCTGCCTACTGTTGAACCCCGTGCAGCTCCACCTAGTGGTGGGATGCCTCCCTTTCACAGGTAAAATAATCAACATGAAATATGGATGGTGTAGTTCACGGTTAATGCTGGCTTTAAAGCAGAAATAGTTTTTTTTAAAAGACATTAAAACATCTTTGATGCTCTTGCAAAATTCTGTGGCGAGACACATTTGGCCCGCGGGCCTTAAGTTTGACACGTGTGTTAGAGGAAATAAAATAACCTTCTGAAAATGTATTCTATTTTATTAAATACTCTTTAGAGGTCTACAAAGTACCTGAAAAAAATAACTAAGTAAAAATAAAATTGTATGAACAGAAAATGACTTTGGTAAAAATAAATTTGACTGATGAGAAAACTAAATTAAAAGTCATAAAACTGTTCACAAAATTAGGGAAAGTAAAAGTAAAAGTACTTTTACACACTCTAAGAAATAAACAGTTGAATTTACTGAAACAAACTGGCTCCACTAAGTCAGGTTGAGTAAATTGAACAATAAATGTGTATTATTTGCTCAATTTACTCAACTAGGCTCAGTGAAGCCAGTTGACTTGACTTTGTTGAGTAAATTCAACACTTCATTTTTTTAGAGCGCACAAACAACACCTTTCATGATGAGTTTGAACATATTTAATTTTGTAACGAGGTGTTACGTTTTAAAGTAAAGAAATAAAAGTATTATTTTTAGCTTTAAAATGTAACAAAATAAAAGTAAAAGTAGCGATTTAAGAATAATTGGAAAAAAAATCCTCAAACAACWGCTTAAGTACTGTAACAAAGTAAATGTACTTAGTTACTATAAACCTCTCCTCTTTGTTTTTAATTTGATTTAAAAAACAACACACAGATTTAAATATTMTTATGTCACTTAAAGTAGGGTTTGTAAAAATAACATTGTTCTGTAAACAAGTTATGAGACCATGTGATCAAATTGCAACAGATTTACTGTAATGTTTTATCTGACAGTAATTTTCAATAACAACCTTAAAATGAAACTTGAATATAAAAAAACTCCATTAAACTGTGTAACAAGTAGCTGATGAATCCTCTCAGAAATAAAGTTTTTCTCCAAAGTGAGGTTTAAACAGCAACCTGCAACAGGTAAGATGTTGATTGTTTGTTACCCTACTGTAAAAAAACAGAACTACCACCTAACCTTCTGTCAGTCTATTAGAGCCTAATCAGATTTTTATTTGAATCAGTTCCTCTTCAGATTTTGCCATTTATATAATATTTCTGGTCATTAGCACATAAGCTCAGGTTCCCCCAAGAGCCTTCAGACTGTGTTAATATTTATTTATCACCAGCCAGGACTGTAACGAGTTCTGTCTCCAACATGTCACTGTCTCTAATGGCTTCAATATTTCTGCTCCTCCATTCTCCACTGAGTCCTGCCATCAGGCAGCTCATTGTCACACTGTGTGCCRCTCGCTGTCTCGCTCTGAGAGGTGATTAACCCAACTGGACTACATGATTCTGTGGGCCATCGGGGAAAATATCCAGTAATATGTCTAAAAAGAATGTGATGTCAGTGATAGAAGCTGCTGTTTGCTCATTATGAGCAGAATGAAAATTGAATCATTTACCAGAGATGTAAATTTAAAAAAATATAAAACATCTTGTTGTGTTTTTGAGGAATAACCAATGACTTGGTTACCAACATAATTTACCACAAATATAAAAACACTTACAGCGTTTTAGCTTGATTTCATATTTTTATATTTTATGTGGCAAACCCAACAGACAAATACTGACATTTTCAGATAAAATATAGCACACACTTTTTTGTTTTGTTTTAGAATAAACACAGGTTTGTGGTTCCCCTGCTCCATTTGCCTAATTAATCATCCTGCTGTCCTTGAGTCAAAATAATCCATGAGGATGTCTTTAGTCACTTTGACCCAAGGGCAGCAGGAGGGTTGGAGACGCTGTATGCAGAAACATTGACATCTAGTGGTCAATCATGTTAAAACATCACACCCACCATGTAGTGGCAAAAGTTTTGCCTTTTTTTTTTTAGATGGAAACAACAAATAAATTATTATTATCATCCAAAAATTTTAATTCTTGTTTGTTTGTTTTTTTTGTTATCCTAAACTTGATTTGCCCTTTCAAGGTTTTCTATAATTTGCTAAAACTGAATCACAAAGCTGTCCTTTGACTTTGCCCAAAACAATATTTTAATACTTTAAACAATGCGTTTGAGATTAAACACAAACTTACAAATAAAAAGGGGATACACAGTGGATATGATAAAAAGTGTTAAATCCATTAATTTGTAATTAAGTGTACAGAACAATAACACAAAGATTGTCCAGAAAACTTAGTTTCTCATGAAACCTAAACACATTTTCAGCTTTTACTCTTTTACTTCAACAACTAAGAGTCACCAAATGACCTAAACTCAGGACCTTCTCTCTGAAAGCTAGCTTTAACCACTGTTCCACTGTGCTGCCCTGGAAATGGCTGGTATCAAGATTTTAGAAATAAAGAAATAGCCGAGTTAAAAGAAACAGTCATCTTATCAGAGAAGGGCAAGATTAGGTTTTGCTTTAATAGTTTCATAAAATAATAAGACTATACTTCAGTTGCCTGTGTTGATGGGTGAGAGGTCTAAAATGACCATAATCTGAAATTAAAGCATTGTTATTTATTTAACTTTTTCTGTATTGGCAGATTGTTTGCTGAAGTACAAACTCCACATGTTCAATGTTGTACAATATTTATTTTATCCTGTCTTCTTCCTCATCATAACCAGCTGCCTTCATTACCCACAACCAGTAATAAGTGGCAGCTCTAACTGGGGGCACGGAGTGGCCACTGGAAAAAACTACATCCTGCCACCCCAGTTTTTGACTCCCCCTTCTTTGTCATTTTTATACAAAGTTAAACCATCTAAGTCACTGATTTAGAGTTCACACACACCCTATTTCAAAACAGGTTTTACCCATCAGTTAGATCTGTAACAAGTCTTAAAATCAGACTAAATACATATCTGATACCACAATCTCCCAACAATGACGTGTCAGGATGGCTGAGTGGTCTAAGGTGCCAGACTCAAGGATTGTGTCCACTAGAAATGAGACATCTGGTCTTCAATTGGAGGTGTGGGTTTGAATCCCTCTTCTGACGTTCTTTATGGGTGTCTGTGGGACCATGATCTCACAGATTTGATTGCTCGACTTGGGTATGTCTCACATGCGATGGCTYAAATGCAGAGCACAAATCTCATTGATGTATGACGTTGATGGAAACACGTTTATGATTTTTCATTTTCTTCGGAAAAACTCCCTCTAACCCGAGCCGCTCGCCTCCTCTGCGGCTCGACGCGACCACAAAGAGAACAATGACGACATGAAGAGGAATGGGGCGGTGACGTGGATAATTAGGATGATGAGGGGCAGGTGTGTGGGCCGAGCGCTGGACCTTCACAGCTTAGGTGTAAACACGACGCGCCGCTAGGCAACAGTGTCCACAGCAGGGGGTCCTTGTAAGGCATGTAGCCGCGAGGGCCAAGACAAGGAGTCGACAGAGCTCTCCCTTCAAACTCTGCAGCAACCTGAAAATAGATCCAGTGTGTGTGTGTGTGTGTGAAGGCACTGTGGAGAA